AGCCTGGAGCTGGTGACTAGCCTGGCCTAGGCCCTCCTCTGCCCATTTACCTTCTGGCAGAGGGAGTCCACAAACCACTCATCCCCGAGGAAGTTGCAGGCCATGTCGACGTCCCCGTTGTACACCAGGATCCGGTATTTCTGCAGAACAGAAGGAGGGTGAGCGTTTCGCAGGGGAGCAGCCCTGACCAGGCAGGAGGCTGGTTTGCCAGAGCCGGTCCCAGGGCCCAGTGGGCTCCACTGCACGCACCGTGGCTCCGAGCAGCTTCAGGTACTGGTCATTCATCTGCATGTACAGGCGCTTATAGCTGCGGTTCACCTCGAAGCTGCGGAGGAAGTGTTGGTGTCACACAGTGCTCACGCTTGCAGTGGTCCCTCCCCACCAGGAGCTTGCTCACCTGCACACCTGCCACTCTGGGGCGTCAGGGGAGATGTGGAGAGCCTTCTTCACCTCTGGGGAGTTCAGATACGCACTGAGGGCTGTGGAGTTGGTGCAGGGTGGGTCCATCCGGACCTTCTTCCGGGCTACTGGCATCCGGAACAGGTTCTAGGAGAGAGTTTGGAGACTCCGTGCTGCAGCAGCACGTGGTGCTGCCCCACAGGAGCAGCCACGCTCTGCCCCCTCCTGCCCACCGGCAGCACCGCTGGCTGGGCAGGGGACACTCACAGCCTGGTGGCACGGGCATCCAGGCTCACCTGCCGCCAGGAGAACCTCATCGGCATCCGGATGAAGGAGTTGCCCAGGTCATGTGTGATGAGATAGTCACCCTCGTACCTGCAGCCAGAATGAGCACGGGACAGGCTGAAAGCTCTGGAGAAACAAGGGCTTAGGGCCCTCCTTGGAGCAGTCCGCGACAGCAGCCAAAGTTCACCTGTCCCAGAGGGGCCCCTGCCCAGCCCGCTACATCCCTCTGCCAGCCAGGACCCCACGTGCTGCAAACCAAAGCGAGCCAGTGCCCGGAGACCCGTCTCCCCTAGGGCCACCCTCACCTCATGCTCCCAGGGACACCACCATCGCACGGGGCATAGAGGTTGTAGATGTTGAGGCCGGACTCCTCTACAATCTGAATCGTCTCCTCCATCTGCAACAAGCCACAAGAAGGATTTGGGACTCAGTAGGATGCTTGAGGGACCGTGGGCCCATCGAGAGCCAGGCAGATGAGTGCTGCTCATAGACACCGGTGCTGGGCATGCGCTCAGGGGCTCTGGCTCCCCTCACCTTGAGCGTGCAGTTCAGGTTGGAATTGTCGTGGAAGTTGCACTGCCCTTGGGAGCAGCAGAAGGCCTGCAAGTCCCTCCACAGCCTGCGGGCAGAGACCAGGGCACTTGGACTGCACTGCCCAGATGGCAGCACTGACACAAAGCCAGTGGCCGAGGCCACAGCCACACGGCAGGCTCCCTGCCCAGTGGCCACACAGCACACGGCTCAGCCCAGTGCCCTGCGTGACCCATGAACAAATGCGCCATGGAGAGCTGCCCAGGACAAGGGGCTATCTCCACAGCCCAACTGTTGGCCCAAGTCAGGCCAGGACCTTCCCTTGTCTCACACACCACCGACTCAGCCAGCCCCATCCCAGGCCGTGCCCCCGTCTTGCTCACACAGGGACGGCACATCTAGCAGCAGTGCTCCCCCCTCCAGCTGCTCTCCCCCTCCTCTTACTCGGTCCCCAGCAGGCCGTGGTAATAGGCAAAGTAAACCAAAGAGTTGTCATTGATCTCGTAGGAGGAGAGGCCATTTCCCACAGCGATTCCCTGCGAGGCAAGAAGAAAACAACTCTGTTGTGTTCCAGCTCCCCACAGGGCAGCTGCAGCAGCAAGCAGCGGCAGGCAGGAAGCAGATGCAGCACTGTTTACTCCACAGAGGGAACAGGAAGGGTCGGGGGTGCCTGAGAACGCTCCCCTGGGTCCCACTCGGCAGGGACAGACACGTCCGCCAGCAGCTGCTGCCAGCACCCCAGGAAAAGATGAAAGGCTGCGGCACCAGACCCACCCAATGCCCCAGAGGTGGTCCCGCACGCTGGCTGCACGGCCAGTCCCCAGCCCTGGTACCGCTCGAGAACCCCAGCAAGGCCACGTCAAACCCTCTGCTCCCCGGCTCAGCCCAGGCCAGTGGCAGAGCCCAGCTGCTCACCTTCAGGTTGAGGCTGGGGTCCTGCATCACCCACTCTGCCAGTGTGGGGATGTAGACGCCCCCATAGCTCTCCCCCGTGAGGAAGAGATCGTTCTTGGAGTACTCAGGGAAGAGCCGGAGGAAGTCCTTCAGCGCCAGGTAGTTGTTGCGAGCAACCTGCAGGCAGGAGGAGATGGGGTCAGGCGGTAGGGCAGGACCACCAGCGCCCAGGCTGGGGCAGACAGGAGACAGATCCCTCCCAGCAGCCTGGGTCACTCGCCTCGGTGTCGTTCGTGGTGTACTTCTTGTCCTCGGAGTAGGAGAAGCCAACACCAGCGGGGGACTCCAGGTAGAGTATGTTGGCAATCTACAGGGACAGCAGAGGAGATCAATGGAGACCTCCTCCTGGCTCAGCAAAGCAGAGGGCTCCCACGGGTGCCCAGCCTGCCCCGGGGCTGCAATGGGGATGGGGCACATTCGTGCCTTGCTTGACAGCAGACTTGAGAGAAGGGTATATTGGGAAGGGGTCTTGCGGGAGACTCAGCTCCATGGAGAGGGCAGAAGGAACTAGGTCAGAGCCACCGTCTCCCCACAGCTGTGGAGAGCAGCAGCCGCCTGCCCCCGTACCTTGTTCCAGGCGTAGTCATTGTACTTCAGCGTGACCCCATCGGGCTGGATCTGGGGAAGCAGAAAGCAGCGACCGATGGGCACAACCAGGCTGGGCCCA